ACTCCACTGAACTTTAGGACTAAGAAAAAAATTGTGGAGATACAGTTGAAGGACACTGAGTCCTTTACTACCCAAAGTACAGGCCTTCTGTCCAGTACCACTTGGTTATACAGTAGTTGACAGCCAACATTTTTTCATTATGATGTGTTCCATCCCGAAGAAGGCAGCCATGATGTATTTTCCTGCTGTCCTGGGAAGCTAGGATGTAGGAGGTAACTGAATCCCTAAGTCTGACTGACTTTCCAGGAACTTGATACCCAACAGAGCCATATGAGGAAGCATCTTTAGCCACTGTGACACATCTGGCTTTCAGGGGTTACAAAGGCAGAGGTGCTAGTGCCAAGTGCTCAAATGCAGCATATCAGTGAGTACTCACGGCTCCGGTTTTGACGGGTTCTCAAAGCACTGCTCTTAGCTGGTGGCCTCTATTCCAACTATCTGTCCTTTCTGAAAAGCCGGTACAACGCCCAACAAATTTAAAAACTGTGTCTTTTCTGCTTATCCTGGGGTAGAATTCTATGGAACTAGGAAACATGCATGACTATGTTATGCACTGCACCAGCAGAACACACACTTAAAAAGCAAAAGACAAATTGAAAACCTTGAGTATTGAGAACACCAAGGAACTAGTATTTCCATAAGCTCTAGAGGGTCTCTGCAGAGAACCTTCAAACTAAGAGCCAACTATCTGTGAAACATCTTTCCCTAGAGTGTGTTATCTACCCCAAATGTATGTTAAAGAATGCAGTCTGTTAAAATAAGGCTCAGCATTAAGTATGTAACTATACTTGAATCATCAAAAGTTAAGTCGCTGCAAATTGGTAAAATCAAATGTAGCTGAATCTTACTAGGTTGGCTTGCTGAAATCCTTTGGAGATTTCAAGGATAATGATTCTAAACATGTCTAAAGTGTTTATTCTAGGCTCCAGTACTTGCTTTTAAAGCCCAAAGTGGAATCAAATTCATTGCCTACTGTGAGAGGATTAAAGGATAATGGCATTGCCATTGTTCCCTGTCCTTGGCTGGGAAAAGCAGTGTGACGCAGGCTTCCCTCCTGGACTTGCGTGATAACACCCTCCAGCCAGTGGGCTTGTCCACTTTGCGCTCACATTCGTTACTTTGGAATCTGAGCACTGGCTAGGCCGGTGGTCCTCAATTGCAGTTCTTGAGCCACAGCAGCATCTCCTAGGAGGTTGGAAATAGGAGTTCTTGGTGTCCAAAGTCCTGTGCCTTAAACTTGTCAGGTAGGGCCCCCAACCCTGTTTTATGAAACTCTGGTAATTCTACTGAATATTAACATTTGAGAATCACTCTCTTGCAGCACAACTTAGCCATTCCAATCAAAGGACAACCTCCGTGGGAGAAGGGAATACCAAGATGTATTCCCTTTTTTAAAATTATTCATTTACGTGTATGAGTGTTTTGCCTGCATGTAGGTACACATGTATCATACAATGCCTGAGGAGGCCAGAAGAGGGTGCTGGATCCCTGGGAACTGGAGTTACAGACAATTGTTATCTACCATGTGGGTGCTGAGAACTGAATCCAGGGGTGGTTGGTGGTGGGGTCCTCTGCAAGAGCAGCCAGTGCTCTTAACTGTTGAGCTATCTCTCCAGACCTTAATAACATACTTCAGAACATTAAAGGAGTTCCTCCCTAGAACGAATCCAGCTTTACCTTTCTTGCTAAAATCTAATACAAAAGTAACTTTTCCTAAAATCATGAGCTATTAAGAAAACTCAGGTCTTCTCGAACAAAAATATTCCCAGTGTTTTCCCTCCTCAGCAGGGTCTCATGCAACCTAGGCTGATTTCAAACTCTATCTGCAGTCAGGGATGACCTTGAATTTCTGATCCCCTTGCCTCCGCCTCCCCAAGTGCTAGGATTACAGATGTAGTCGCCATACCTGGTGTATGCGGTATTGGGAATGAAACCCAGGGTCTGTGCTTGTTAGACAAGTGCTCTACCAACTGGGAATCTATAGCTCCAGATCCACATTACCTTTACCCATAGTCATTCTTAAAGTTTTCTTTATCCTTCTCAACTTCCAGAATAAGGTATGACCTCACTCTCTGGCTCAAATTTCCTAAACTTGAACCAGAGAGACAAATACCACAAAACGGAGGAGCTGAATAGTCTACCTATGTTTTACTATACAAGATGAACTTATGTTTTAAGAATTCAATTTTAGGCTCATCTTTCCTACAGATTCCTCCTCATGCCTGTTGCTTTTGCTTTAAAATGTTTTTGTTCATTTTAAGATTTCTGTATTTCACATATATTATGTTAAACATTTGGATTCTCATTTGCCCTATTAAATAAGAACTGACCAGATGGACATTCCTCGGCTCTCTCCTGAGCAGGTTTTAAGCAATTAAAAATGATTATTTTTACTACGTATTTTATGTATCAGCCAGATGTTACCTGTGGTCATTTCTGGAAAGGATCGCTTGGTAATGGTTATTAAATACATACTTTCCTTTGGGGGGCTAGGCTCCTGAGCGTGATCAGGAAAGAACACGTAGAAACTGAGTTCACCTCTTCTACTTGTTCCTAATGACAAAAAAGGCACAGTATCTCACTGTCTCTGAAATCCTTCTTACCACCTCTGCATTTTGGCCATTTGTGTTGTCAAAAATAAAATACAAATAAAGTCTGTTAGGCTGATAGAAAGAAATGATCAACTCCCCTCTGTCCTTTGATTTTTTTTCTCCAGAGCCATTTGGTGTTTGCTGAGCCATCCATGCACACAGCACAGCAGAGTGTGCACTGACTCAGGCCCAGGAGTGCATGGCGTTACCATGAGGACACCTCCAGATCTTGGTAACATCCCAATTTTGCACAGTTCTCCTGAGCTGTTTTTCCTGCATTTGCCTGTATTTCTCATTAGTGTTGAAATGATCCAGAATGAAGCAAAGAATTTGTAATTATAAAATTGCTTTGTGATTACACAAGCTATTTCCTCCCCACATGAACACAGAGTAGAATCCAAACAAAATGCTTTTCCTAAAACAAAACACAACCTTTAAAAAGAAAATTCAGACCTGCAGCCACCCAAAACCATGAAATGTTGATAGATGAAATCCACCACACTGTCACAATGCCGCTTAGAAAATCCACCACACTGTCACAATGCCGCTTAGAAAATTCCTAGAGGCAGCTATCTCAGGCTAAACTTCCCATACTGACAATCACAATTCCGCATGGCAGGTTCAATCAACAGGCAAGAAAATTTCAATTCCAAAAACACCGGCTGTGTCCTGTAAAGTACTTCGTGAGGTGGTGATGCCGTGTCTGGTTTCAGCTCTGGCTTTGAACAGAACCTTGAATAAATGAATTCTCTGCTCTGAGGTTCTTTTCCCATGCACAGAAATGACAGGGTTGGACTAGATTATTCTCTGCAGTCCCTTCAAGTCTCAAAATCATAGGATTGATTGTTCCAAAAATAACTTTAAGGTATAACATGCTTTGCTGAATCACTATAACCACTTTTGGTGGGAGAGGGATGGTTGTCTCTATTAGTTCAGAATCTACTTTTTAAAAATATTTTATCATTTTTATTTTATGTGTATGAGTATATTGCTTGCATGTGTATAAGTGAACCTGTGTCGTGTCATGTAATGTCCATTGAGGTCAGAAGAGAGCATCGGATCCCCTGGAACTGGAGTTATCAACAGTTGTCAGCTGCCATGTGGGTGCTAGGAACTGAACCTGGGACCTCTGCAAGAGCAGCCAGTGCTTTCAACCGCTGCATCATCTCTCCAGCCCCTAGCTCAGATACAGAATTAGCGATTCATTTTTGATTGTGTAAAGAATCTGTCCCCAGTGTTTTGAACTACAGAAATCTGCTTTTAGAAAATCACAATCACCTCAGAAATGACCTCTTCCTCGTGTTTTAATAGCAAACACATTACCTAGGATGCTCCCATTAAAGTCATCTTCATAGCATGTAATTTCAAGAGTCAGGTAAGAAGGGGCAGGCACGACTCACCAAGTCCCACAGTCCTTAGAATAAACTGTCTCTCAAAATATAACATTATTTACCTTTGGATCAGGCCATGCTCATCAGCCTATAATAGGTTTGAGGGACTCACCAGTCTTAATTTCCTATGCACATCTATAATTGTCCACAGAGGTCAATTTCAGTGGATGCCTCATATAAATTAAAATAGAAGATGATGATGTCTGTTCACTTGATCAACTAAAATGACCAGCTGGGTTTAATGGGAGGAAAACTGAAACCCCAGTGAAATTACAATAGCTGCGAAGGTGACAGGATATAATTATTTTTCTGTAATGTTTCTTCTCCAAAGGTGACTGGCCACCGCACTGGTGAGCACCTGGGCCAGCACATTATGAAGCTAGATACAGCCTTCAGAGCCAAGACTCAAGCTAGGAGTCAGCATTCTGCTAAGGCGCTGGGGAGAACAGGATCTCTTTTATGTTCTTATTTTAGTTATTTCCTTTACAGTTAGAGAGGTGCTTTGAGGGAATTGCTTAATTGACTCCCGAGAGGCACATTCTAATTTAGATGGGTAAAAAGTGTTTTCTCTTTCTAGCCATAAAACATTTTCTTGGATTTGTTCTAATTATCCTTAGAGTGATGTGTTCTTAGGTCAGAACGCAACTTCATATCACCTACCCTCATCCCTTCACTTCAGGGGAAGAAACACAGGTCGAAAGATGTGAACAGACTGGACCATGGTCCCAAAGCTGGAGAGGCATAGGGACAGGTTAGACCCCAGCACGTGATGAACACCACCAAGTCTCAGCCTAGTGAATTTTCAGAGAAGTAACTGGAGAGTTACTGAGGAAAGAAAAGAAAACTCTTGATGAAAATCACCATTTACAAAACTTAGGTTCCACATAGCAGCAATTTCAGCATCCTGGAGGCGGGGGCAGGAAAGTTTCACGTTCCAGACCAATCTACACAGCTAGCCTCTATGACAGGCCCTGTCTCCAAAAAAATTAGTAAAATTAATAAACAAGGGACATTGTACTTAAAATATTCAATGATATTCAGTTTAATATAGCAACACCAGAAAACTCATTAGCAAAGCAATGAACAATGAAGCATATCCATGGCAGAAATTCAAGGTGGGTGCCCAGGGCGGCTCCCAGTGTGCTATGGCAGCTGATGGATGCTGCCTTTCCTTTCGCTAGAACACATCGCTTTAAAAAATCATTTTTTAATTATATCTTACTCATTTAGTCTGTGGGAGGGGTAGGCACGTGGAGGTCAGAGGACAGTTCAGAAGTCAGTTCTCTTCTTCCTACGGATCAAACTGAGGCCATCAGACTTGGCAACAAGCACCTTTATCTGCTGAGCCATTTCGCCTACCCTAGACCACAGCTTTTAAGAAGTTTTACTTTATTTTCCCCTTGGAGTTTGATGCAGTTGAAGCTATCATGAACATTTTATTCAGAGATTTTCAGAGAAAACCTTCACAAGATTAGTGTGTGTAGATTTTCTGGTAATTAAGAGCATTTCAGATGTGCCTGATCTGAGTTCCACAGATGGATTTGTTTGGTTTGTTTCCTTTATTCTTTAAGTTCAGTGGAAATTTTAGGGGGCAAAGTCCGTTACCTATTCTTGAATTATATAACCATGGAAATTATGAAAAAAAAAATTTTTAAAGTTTGTTGTAAAGAATTTTTCTGGGTTAGTTGCTGATTTAAGACATTGGAAGATCATGATATGCTGCATATCGTCCAGTCACATGATGGTAAATCTGTGAGGAAAAACAGAGTTTCCTCATTAGTGATTATTATATACTCACACATATCAGCAGTTACAGCACAGCATAAAAATACTTTGAAAACGTCTCATTAGTATGTCTTTCAGCAGAATTCCCACCCAACCTACTACAGGTGGAGGTCTGCTTGGAAGAAGGTAGAGGAGGTGTAGGTACAATGAGGAAAACCAACCGAGTTTCCACCTCTACCTCTCAAAATCCTTTCTCCTTCCTTCCAGGGACACTGGCTTATCACTCACCTGCCTCTCGATGTCCGAAAGCAGGGAACTGGCACCGATCCGGAAGAGTTCTGGCGTCAGCCACTCGTCCCCCAGCTCCTCCTTTATCAGAGATAGCCAAGCAAGGGAGTCCTTGGCAGTGCGGATGCCGCCTGCAGGCTTGAAGCCTACCTGAAAGGGAGGTGAGAACAGAACGGTCACTGTTGTCACTGGGCTGCTGTAAATCATGGCACCACATGTAAAGGCCCTGAGTCTCATTCATTCCTAGTCTTTCTGGCTTTATGGATGGAGTCTTAGCCCATCATACTACATGGCAACTTTTCCATGATTAATGGGAAGTGGGTCACAGCTTCTGAGAGGACACGAATGAGGCTACTCCATCCTCATTAGCATCTCCATCCTCATTAGCATCTCCATCCTCATTAGCATCTCCATCCTCGTTAGCATCTCCATCATGTCAAGCTAGACTATATCTGCAAACATGGAGAAGCCAAGAAAAGTGTCGAAAAACAGGAAAACGTATCACACAAGTCCATTCATTCTCGACTGCTACAAATGAGCCCGTGGAGTCACTTTCTGGCCTTCATTTGAGGTTCAAAGCACGTGTGCACTTAAAATAAGACAGAATCAGTGCAGCCACAAGGTCACTCTAACCAAACCCGCAGCCACCCACAAGGAGAGCAGTTGTTCTCATCAACCTAATTGTGGGGGCTTCTTCTCTGAGGCTGTAGGCATACAGAGCTCTATAAAGCAGGCAGACCTATAATGTAAATACTGGAGAAAAACACAGTGTGGGGTGTCTTCAGACTTCTGAAGTTTTCAGGGATGACCATCAAAAACAGCCCAATTCAGCCAATATGTGATGCTCATAAATGATGTCCTGTATCTGTTAGGCAGAGAAAAACAGGTTCCCTGGACAGTAATATGGTCACCTGGATGTGCTTGTCCCAGGAATTTAACCACCCAGAAGAGCACTCTATACACAGAAGCTATCAAGCCAAACTACAGCTCAAAAACCAATGATCATCCTTGTGTTTTATTGCTCCGAGCTGCTTTCAGATAAATCACACCAGCAGGAGGTGACTGCTAACAAAACAGAGAAAGGAGACCGCACAGGAATGTCCTGTTACCAGACAGGACAACTCACTGTGACCCTGACCTCCACTGTCCTCTACACACTTCGCAGCCAAGTCCTGCCAATCCTACCTCTTTACCTTGGGCGTGACTCTCACACCTGCCTCTTTACTATGAGTTCTTGAATATGTGTTGAGAAGTAGCAAAAATAAGTAAATGAAATGAAACTGATCAGCAGACAGGACCACATGGGTTAACCAGAGGAGCTTCCTGCCGGGCAGGCAGGGGTTCTGAGAGATTTTCTCTATAGTTAGTGTATGTCAGCAGTTTCCAAAAAGAAGATTTTGCATAAGTTAATCTCTTTTTTTTTTAAAGGGAAAGAATACAGAAAATATCAATCTGTAATGAAATCAGTTATGAAATATTAAAACTCAGCTTCACAGGAATGACAGTAATCATGGTCTGGAAGGGGTAATATCCCATTGTAAAACAATGAATGAAAGAGAAATGTCCCGGTCTAAGGGCTGCCTGGGTGCATTTGCAGCAGCTTAAGAGACTGCACCTCATTTTCAGATGTACTCAGACATCCGTAAGTCTTCCTTGTTGGGAATCAAATGTGATCAAGTGAATAGGGTTTGTCTTAAATTTATTCTTTGCTTAAAACCAAGTGGGACTTTGTTTACAAATGGGGAAAGAATCAATACAATCAGAAATAAAGGATATAAAGGTAGCAAAATGTCCCTCTGAAATCTGGTGGGACCACTGAGTACTTAAGACACTGAGATTCTCTCTTTTGCTGGCTAAAAGCCCTCCTGGGAAGGGACTTGTTCATGTTTATACCCCTAACACTAGCACAGGTTAACACAGCTGGTACTTAGCTACAGTAGTAGGTGTTTCTTTGGTCCCCAGTGGTGTGCTTATCCCTAATGATGGAGCTCTGAGGGCTAGGAGTCCAGGCATCCACATGCAGCAAGCTGGTCTTCAAGGCCTTGCCAGAAAGCCTCCGTGTGGTAGCAGAATTAGTTCCTTAAGGAGCACACTCAGGACTGAGGCCATGGTGCCAACAAACGCTGATAGTTCCACAGAAGGAAAAGATGTATTTCTCATTTTCTAGCTTTTCTCTTTAAGAAAAAGTTCTTTAAAAAGAGTTATTTGTGGGGCTGGAGCCAGAGAGATGGCTGAGCTGTGAAGAGCCCTGGCTGCCCCTGCAGATGTCCCAGGTTCGGTTCCCAGCACCCACTTGATGCTAACAACTGTCTATAACTCCAGTTCCAGGGGACCCGATGCCCTCTTCTGGCCTCCTCAACCACTGCATGACACTTACATACAGGTAAAACACTAATACACATAAAGTAAAAGGCTTATTTATATCAATGCAGAGTGACCACCAAGTAGAAGTTACACGAATTGGAGCACATCGTAATAGGTATTTTCCCATTTGTACTGAATGACCTGAGGTTATTCAGGGAAAATTCTAGAAGATTATTTCCTCTCTGGCGGCACATTTCATATGAAACTCCAGCTGCAGAATAAATCGAAGCTATGGTCATCTGTAAAGCCATCCCGTTCACCAGGCAAAGGATTGAAGGTCTTTTGGGGGAGGTTCTAGGTGACAGAAATCAAGAGACTGGGTGTTTTAAAAGGTGCTGCCTAGACAGGGAAATGCCATTAAACACTCCCCATCACCCAAACACATAAAACTACCTTTCCAATCATGCCAAAACATCCTCAGGTAATTTGCGCCCAGACAAGCAAATTGAAGTGAAAAGGAAAATCCAAATTCACTTTTTGGACCTCCATACACATTTTTCCTTTTAACTTCATGTGTTTCAAAACTATGTATTATTTTTCGAAAAGCTGACAAAAGCTAGCATATCCCTCCTCAGCTTAACGGTCTTCAAAAGAGCACGTCCAACTGCCATAAAACGCAAAAATGGATATTTAATTCAAGAGCTATATAACGCAGAGCTACCTTTTCCTGCTGTTTCACGGCATTTCATTATTTTGTTTAATAAGTTCATCTCCTCGAGAATTTTCTCTTCACCTCATATTATTAAAAGTAATAAGTTTTTCTGGACCGGGGGTTTCCCAACAGAAAAACCAATTTATGTGTGTCCTTCAATAATGACAGGAAAAGATTATTTCCCATTATATTGCCTACTTTTCATATCGCCACCACAGCTTATCATTCAATAAATGTTACTCTGCAATTCTTTCCATTCCTCAAGGAAGTTTAATTTCTGCATTAACCTGTTTTCGCCAGCCAACGCCTTGCCAGAAAGCCTCTGTGTCGCAGCAGAATTAGTTCGTTAAAGAACCCATTTAGGAATCTCTTGTCAGTGATAAAATTGTCTTCAGTTAATAAAAGGACACAAAGTGAGTTTACATCTTGATCACATGCACACTCCCGCACTCACATCCACTCTGTTAATCACACATTTTCCCCCACCAAGGTGTTCCTTCATAATGAAAGGTAAATTAAACATTTATCTTAATAAAGGTAACTCATTCACACCTTCTGCACAGGAAGACGGTTATCATGGTTGGCTGTGACGGGTATTATAAATAGTTATAAATAGCATTATCTTTAGTCTAAAGAAAGATGTGCTTGCAATAACATACCTTATTTCCAGTTTTCCAGAAGAAATCTCTGATGGCCCGAAGCATCACAATTGCGACTGGGAAGGTGGCATTTACTGTTTCCTTTCCAGTAGAAGTTTTGATAAAATCTGATCCTACAACAGAAGCAAGAAAAATTCCCATGTTAATTAAAAACTTACTTTTTACACTTAAGTCAGTGAAAGAAATGAGTTGTGTACGATTTTTTCCCCTGAGAACACTTTACTTTTTCTTAATTATTTGAAACGCTAAAATGAAAATATACCTTTTAAATAATTCTGTTTATGTGTCAGTGCCAGAAAATAGGGTGAAGGGTTGGGAAAAGCCATCTTTTGGGCATGACAGGGCCGTGGCAGCCATGACCCCACAGCAGTTGAGGCCTCCACTGGGCCTGTACCAGACTGGGCTTCTCATTTGGCAATCATGGATCAGAGAGAGGCTCACAGGGCTTACCCTCACCTTCTGAATTGCTGGCTACAGCAAATTCTGGGGGAGGGTCAGTCAATGTCTTCATCTGAGTGCCCATCAGAGTCCAATGGACCCATGGTCACAAGGGCTGGAGAGAGGGAAGACAGGGAGACGGGGAGCGTGTGCGTATAAGAATAACCAGAATGTGTTATATGCATGCATATAACTGTTAAAGAACAAATTTAATAAAAATTGTAATAAAAATTCTGTTAATAGTCTTGTCTTTCTTTACCATCAAATCAGCCAGCTACTGAATGGATCTTCATCGACCTCTGGAACTCTTGCCTATATTTTACACCACCAATTAAAATCAAGTTGGTTTATTTAATGCATAACTGAGATGAATAAAAACAATTTTATGCCCCATGCTTACCACCATCCATAAGGACAGCTTCCAACAAGACTGTGGAATGCTGGCTTGTTTTCTTCTCATTTTCTCTTATTTGATGGAAACACACAGTGCAGTTGAGACAACCCAAGAATGTGAGCTGACTTCTGCTATTTGTTCCTTAGTGAAGCACTATGTTTTACAACTAGATTAGGATTTCCAGGAAAGCCTCTACGCTCTTGCACATTTTGCAAATCTTTTCAACAACTTCCTTCTCTGCAGTATATCTTTTTTTTAAAAAAATATTTATTCTTGCTGGGCGTGGTGGCACACACGTGTAGTCCCAGCCATTGGGAGGCAGAGGCAGGAGGATCTCTGTGGGTTCAAGGCCAGTCTGGTCTACATAGTGAGTTCTAGGACAGCTGGGGCCACAGGGAGACCCTGCTTCAAAAAGACCAAAAAAAAAAAAATTCTTTTTATTTCATGTGTATGAGTGTTTTGACCGCATGCGTGTAAGTGCACCTGTGTCATGCAATACCTTCAGAGCACAGAAGAAGGAGGGGTCAGATCCCTTGGAAATGGAGTTACAAACAGTTAAGTCACCATGTGGGTGCTGAGAACTGGACCCAGGTCCTCTGTGAGAGCAGCCAGTGCTCTTTTCAAGTTGGACTAAATGCATTTTGCATGGAGATGGCCATGAGCCTGTGGGGATTGGTGCAGAATGTTGCAGTTTTAATGCTAAATGACTTGGTAGGCATTGGGCACTTGGTCCCCAGTTGGAGACTTTGCATTGGATGGTTGGAGAACCTTGAGGAGGTGGAGCCTCTCTGAGCCTCCCTGGAAGATGGTCACTGGGAGCAGACCTTAAGGTTATATCCTGGGTGTGCTTCCTGTCTGGTCTCTGCTTCCTGTTTTACCGAGATGTGAGAAGGCGAAGAATCCCAGCCACACAATTCTGCCACATTGAGAAGATATCACTCTGTCTCGCTTGCCATGATGAATTATATTCCTCAGTCAAAAAAATCCTTCCTTTATAACACAATTTTGTGTGGTCACAGCAATGGGAAAAACAGCTAATACAAACACACTGTGTGTAACTACCATGGGAACTGACACACCAGTCGGTCACTGGGCACCCTTTTTCTTTGCATCTATAACCCAATTGAAGACATGCCTGGCATCCATATATTCATTCAACAGCATTTTCTCGGTGTTTATTATGTGCCAGACTCTGTTCAAGATGCTTGAAACAGACTAACAAATGAAAAAGTCTTGCCTTTGGGAAGGGATGTTCTCAAAGAGAAAGACAATGAACAGTAAATAGAATCAATGTCAAGTGGAGATTAAACAGTAGGAAAAAAAATAGCACAGAGTGATGACACAGAATGATGATGGTGAGGAGGGGCGACTGTGTTTACAAAAGCCAGCATCACTGATCCCTGAAATGCAGTGACTAAATGAAGGAAATCAGGAAAGAGCTTTATAACCAGGGAAACAAAACTGCAAAGGCCTCAGGGTTGTCCTCAGGCTAAGTCCATTAATAAATGAACGAATGACTGGACTGGAGAGCTGATGCCTGGTCCTCACTCAGCACAGAAAGAAGACTACCAAAGAGAAGAGACTAGAACCCCAAGTAGACAAGAAGCAGGCCACAAGATCATGAGGCATCTTCCCAGTACGCAGCAACACCTTCTCATTTACTAGAAGCCTTCTGGGTACATCTAAATTATTTTAAGCATCTTAGAAGATAAGATTATTAAGGGGAATAGAGTATAAGACTGATTTTCTGTATTAAATACACAAAAATTCAATAAAAAAGATTATTAAGATAAAGAACCAAGGCCGCATTTGAACACCTTTAACAAAAAGGGGAAGTATGGTCACTTGGTTTTTTGTTTTATTTGGTTAGTGGTTTTTTTGAGCTCCACATGGTCTGGAACTAAATTTGCAGACTAGGCTGGTCTCGATCTCACAGAAGGCTGCCTGCCTCTGCTTCCTGAGTGTTTGAATTGAAGGCATGCACTACCATGAGGTATAGTCACTTGCAAATCAAAAGAACCAACCTCTTTTGGAAGAATCCGTGCTTCCGTCCCTCCGTCCCTCCCTCCCATTCTCCTTCCCTCCCATTCTCCTTCCCTCCCATTCTCCTTCCCTCCCATTCTCCTTCCCTCCCATTCTCCTTCCCTCCCATTCTCCCTCCCTTCCATTCTCCCTCCCTCCCATTCTCCCCGCACTACCATGAGGTATAGTCACTTGCAAATCAAAAGAGCCAACCTCCTTTGGAAGAATCCGTGCCTCCGTCCCTCCCTTCCATTCTCCTTCCCTCCCATTCTCCTTCCCTTCCATTCTCCTTCCCTTCCATTCTCCCTCCCTTCCATTCTCCCTCCCTCCCATTCTCCCTCCCTCCCATTCTCCTTCCCTCCCATTCTCCTTCCCTTCCATTCTCCTTCCCTTCCATTCTCCCTCCCTTCCATTCTCCCTCCCTCCCATTCTCCCTCCCTCCCATTCTCCTTCCCTCCCATTCTCCTTCCCTTCCATTCTCCTTCCCTTCCATTCTCCTTCCCTTCCATTCTCCTTCCCTCCCATTCTCCTTCCCTTCCTTGTGCCTGGAGCTAAAGAGATGCTCAGTGATTAAGAGCACTAGCTGCTCTTGCAGAGGACTTGGATTTGGTTCCCAGCACCTGCATCAAGAAGCTCACAACCGTCTGTAACTCCAGTTCCAAGGAATCCAACAATCTCTTCTGGCCTCCGAGGGCACCAGGCATGCACATGGTGCACATTCATACATGTAGGCACTCACACATACACATAAAAATAAATTTGTGAAGGTATAACAAAGGTGTGAGGTGTAGCCTGGACTGGCCTAGAACTCACTCTTCTAGCTCAGACTGGCCTTGAACTCCTAACCTCCTGCCTCCTCTACCTCTCCAGTACTGGGATTACAGGCATGACCACCATACAAGCTTCTCTTCATATCACATCCAAGGGACAGCAGAGATCTACAAAGACAGCAACAGTGGCTCAAAAGGTGTGAGGTGTAGCCTGGACTGGCCTAGAACTCGCTCTTCTAGCTCAGACTGGCCTTGAACTCCTAACCCTCCTGCCTCCTCTACCTCTCCAGTACTGGGATTACAGGCATGACCACCATACAAGCTTCTCTTCATATCACATCCAAGGGACAGCAGAGATCTACAAAGACAGCAACAGTGGCTCACACACTCACTACTCGTGTTCCCCTTTGACACAGTGTAAACATATTTGGGAGCACTGCGCTCTGGAGAGCACAATCCATAGGAGAAACTCAGTGAGTAACTTTAATCTGAATGGTTAGAAGGTCAGCTACAGGTATCAAGAAAACCACACGGCAGCATTTCCCATAAAGGTGGGAACCTTTAACTGACAAGTGAGGAAGGAAAACAATTTGCATTTCACTCCATCCATCCCCAGCATAAAACTGGTCAGGTGGTTTAGAATAAAACATGGTTTTAATAAATGGATTCAAATGAAATACTTAGTTTAAAATAAACCTTAATTTAATTTATTTTTTGTCTTCCTGAGACAGGGTCTCCCTGCAGCCCCAGCTGGCCTGGAACTCACTACATAGAGGAGGCTGGCTTGCATCTCATAGAGCTCCTCCTGCCTCTGCCTCTGCTGGGATTAAAGACATGTGCCACCATGCCCTGCAAACGTTTAATTTTAAAAGTACAGCGTTATAGAACAGTTACAGGCTCCATATATCCCACGCAGTCTTTCTGATCATTCCCATCTTACAGCACTAACCACTTGCAGGAACCAATGCTGGCATATTATTATTATTAAACCCACACCCCTGCTTGGCATTTTCCTCACTCTACTCAACATTACTCCCATCCGGGATACTGCATTTGTCACGTCTCCACAGATTCCTCCAGCTGTGAAAGTCCTCCTCAGACATTCTACACAATGTGTCTCACCTGGGCTCTGCGTGATATTTTTCACACGATTAGACTGGGTTTTGTGGGCTCTGGGAAGATCGTAAGGTGACATTTTGGCGCATCATACCAAACAACACACTATGGCCAGGATTTACTATCAACGACACCGACCCTCGACACCTGGCAGAGGCGGTGCTTGCCTGGCGGCTCCACCGTCAAGTTCTCTCCTTCCTGCTTTCCACACTGTTGTTCTGCGTGAACGCCGCACTTAAGGAGTGGGGAGGGAGCGTTACTATCAAACTCCTTCAGAAGGAGTTAACAGCACAAAGCAGATGAAATGTTTTGGGTGGAAGATTTATTTCTCCATTTTTACATTCACAAAACCATTTACATCAGGGGAGACAAG